ATCGACCATCGACTAAACGGGACTGTTGAAATCCTTGTATCATAAGCTTATTTCTGAATAACTTGCTTTGTTTTAGAAATTGCTCATACTTAGAGCATCTGTATATGCTCTTGCGTATGGAATCAACTGTGAGACATAAACTCCATATGCAGATGATAGCGGCATATTGCTATGTAAATTAGGGAATTTGGCGATAAGAAGTTGAATTCATCAAGAGTATCATAAAGTTTTGTTGTTTAACGTTTCTTTCTTGTAAAATATCCAAATATGAATCAGATGTATCAGACTCTGTGGTTTCTTTTATTTCGAGTTCAAAGGGATATATCGAATAAACTTCGGAATGTAAATTATTATTGTTAATTGATAAACGTCCTCGATATATATCTAAATGCTAAATTAAAGGCCACAGCAAGATATTTCTTATCAGGTAGAAGTTTTTGAATAAATTCTGCTTGATATGAATACAACAATAGGTCTCCTAGTCTCCTAATTGTGGGGCGCATTTAGTACCCATAGAAATTCCAACAGATTGGTGGAATACTTTATCTCTAAAATCTACATAAAATTGTCAATCAGAAACTCAAGAATCTTTTTATTATCAACTTCGTAAAATAATTTTTCAAATAACCAATGACAAGGCATGTAAAGAAGAAGGTACGGTTTAAACTTTATTGTACCCTAAAAATTTAATGTTTTCAAAAAAGTTTTGAAACTGGCTTAGGAATTAGTTGAGTATATGACTGCAATAAATCAGGAAAGAATATGGCATGAAGGAGTACCATTCTTGAAAAATGACGTCATTTTATATGCATTTCTCTGTTTTAAACAGAAAAAGCCTCAAAATGCCCCATTTCAAGGGTTATTTTCCTTAAGAAAATATTGTCCACAGCCGTCGCCCACTTTGATTTTCGGATATGTTGTGTGATATTCTTTGAAAAATCACATATCTCAAAATCTTTGTGGGCGATATTATCTGAAAGAAAATTCCATTGAAAATGAGTGTCTCCTGCATCTTTTTAAGAAAATACGGGAAAATGCACAAGTTTATGCCGTCACAATTAGCATTAAGAATGTCATGTGAGAAAAATGATTGGTATGATCTTTCTACATGGAATTCCAATGATTCAGAAAAAAGGAGTTTTAATTTTTTACATCACTTTTATTTTTAAGAAAAACACAGGGCAAGATTTGTATTGAAACCGTACCTTGTTCTTTACGAGTTCTATTTTTATTGAACAAGCAGCTGTCTATTATGGCAAAAAGCATGGACTTTGATTGGACCTTAAGGAATGGTTCTAAAAAGTGTTTAAAAAGTAGATTTTGATTTTATTGGTTTTGGTAGAATCTTATGATTTCAAATATTCTAAAAGTTCCTTGGAGTTTTTAAGTATCCACATCTGATCAACCGTCTTCTATTGTAGTACAGTACTCCTGAAGTTTCTCCTTCACTTCTGTTAATATTTTTATTGAGGAGAAAAGAAAGAGACTTGGTAGAACATTTATTGGAACCTGCTATGTATCTTTGTTTGAAAGCATAGCAACGGTTTTAAAAAGGGGGGCTCCAAAAAACTGAAAAGAAAAAAAACCAAACTTTCCAAACACGAAAATCTTATTTCGTGGGGACGGGGGGGGGGGGGGTAGGACATTTCTCTTACTTTTTTACAATTCCTTTTTTCTTCAAATCCTACAATTTGCCATTGTTCGACCTAACAGCAATAAAAAGTGGGGGAACCAGCAACGTTGACTATTCAGAAAAAAATTGGGGGCCGGGACTCCTGCCCCCCAACCCTCCCCGCGTTCTAAGGATCTGATGGGTATGATTGCTCTACTCCCAATTTGTATTGTTTCAATGGACTTTTGAACTTGATTACTGTTCGTTATCTCTATATTTCTTCATAACAGTTTTAACCTGGTTTTGTCAGCTGGGACCAGTACATATTGATCGTTTAATCTATCCAATTATTTTTTTCACTTCTGAATTATTAAAGGCGGAAGGATAGATGGTTTTCATATTGCCCCTCAGCCGCTTAATTTGAGATTTCAACATCCTTCTGATACTCTTGATCCATTTCAACAGTATCAAGTGTGGGATAGTTTCCGGCATGAAAACGCATCGTGGCAACTGGCTTGGTTACGACTTTTGTAAAATTATATCTCATATTTTATCATGACTAATCACTTTGAATTCAAGAAAATAAAAATTAGGCAAATAACATTTATTTTTCTTGTGTAAATCACAAGTTAATACAAGCAACTTTATTCTGTTTTGCTAGCAACAGTGCTATTTATTATTTAACTTTTTTAGTAAAATTATTTGTCATATTTATAACATAAGTTCAAAGTTAGTCTGTTAGATATCGACGTGATGGTCCCTCTAGGCCTTTGTTTGAACCAAACAGCGATCCGAAGACGCAAATCCTCTCACAATTGTCCTTGCAATTCTCTCTACTGTGTGGCAAGCATTATTGAAATGCAATGACCAAGTTCTCCTGGCCCATTGGTACTGCACGTTTCCCCACTCGTCAATATGGATAATGAGTTTGTTGCTACCAGATCCACTGCGAAGCGTGATTGGTTCATATAGGTAATCATCCATATGAACTTCAACTGTAACGTTGTCTGCACATCCGCGTAATATATGGTCCAACTCGTCTCTGACATTGGCTAATGCCTCTGCGACAAGAATATTTCTTCGAATATCTCTGGGTATTCTTCGTATGACTCGCTGGAAAACTTCGTCATCGATTGCGTTGCACGTGTAATCCTAAAAGTATAATATACTGATAGATGAAAATGATTAGGAATACTTACTTGATTTGTATTGTTTTTGATATATTTAACTTATGCTTACCATTTTTGAATCTAGAGTTCTGTTCTGGGGTTACAACAGTCGTATGACGTTTAAAGATTAAATATATAGCGCAATAATTGTCCTTGGAGTTGCTATAGAAATGATATTACGTCAGAAAACTTGCGCATGTGTGTCAGACCAGACCAATGACATGCTAAGACATGACAATAACGTTTCAAATGCTACGAAGTTGTTTAAAATAACATTATATCTTTAACAATTTATGAAATGTTTTGTCATTTGTTTTCTATATCCTGCACTTTGTGTATATCTTTGCGACATATCGACAAAAACTTCTTTGAGCATTAAGGATTTGTCAAGATGGGAGATCGGAATAATTTTTTTTAAGAATTCAATATATCAATGAAATACTGGTAAAAAAAATTATTTAGCGGTGTTACATTGTTGACGTTGCTTAAAGCAGCGCTAGGTAGGGGTAAAATCATTCATGGTTTAAAAAAAAATACGTGACGAAAAACTCTCCAACGATTTCTTTATGATTCTTTTTTTAAATACGAAATTTGAAAACTTTTTATTTATTTTCAGATGGACGATTTCAAACTTCGTGTGATGAATTTCTTTAGAACGCTGGAGGTATAGATATCTTTCTTTCATTTTCATTTACAATGAAAGTTTAGCAATATAAAATGTTTTTATGATGTAATTGAATTATTGTTGGAATCTTTTTATATAAAGACTTCTTAGATATGTTGTTTGTTAATTTTTTCTTGTATTTATCTTCATTGTAAATTTAGGCATGCAACGGAGAACAGAAATCTGTCTTTAATGACGTTCTGGAAGCCTTTAATACTTTTCTTGAGGTAAAAAAAAAACTTTTTGTCTGAAATTTATTATGAAAAGGTTCTAGAAACAATATAATTCTATGCAAAGTAAGATAATTATGCAGATTTAGTAGAGGTTTTTGTGTTGCTGCCGAAAGAATTGGCTCGAAGATGCTGATTATCTCAGAACAAAATTTGTATATTTTTGAAAAAAAAATAATAGACGCATATAAAGCTATATCAATTTTTATAAGATAATATCAGAATAATATCAAACATATTCTGAAGACAAAAATACATATACTGAAGAACTGATATAAAAATTTTAATAGATAAAGGGATCATTTAAAAAAAAAGCAGTGTGATTAATAAGATAGAAGATGGATAAATAATTCAAAATAATTAAACCAAAAAAAATGCCTTTTCCCCTTTTTTCCCTTATTTTTCTTTTCGTTTTCTTCTCCTTTTTTCTCCTTTTTTGATAAACGTATTGAATATAAGATTATACAAAAATGTATCTTTAAGCAGTATTTTGCACAATTAAATAAATTAAATTTTAATGGGGGAGACGAGACTATACCTATATGTTTTATAACATATTTATGACCATTTTTAGGAAAATCTTACAATTGAGGACCACTGAAATGAAAGGTCTATAGCCTTCAGAGAGCCAGTTTTGGAGTGCATTACGATTATTTAAATCATTGTTTCTAGACTTAAATATTCATCTTTTACAGGAAGTACTTTTATCAAAACATATTACTGTTGGCTCCTCAGATACCATTAATGTGCAAGAGCTTTTATACAACGATTTCCTTGAAATGTTTCACTATCTTGAGGTAAGAGTAAAAATTTCTGCATACTAACTTTCACTTCATATTTACGTAAGGAAGATCTATGAAAAAATCTCTCGGCAAATTTTCTTTTCAATTGCAATGTATTTTATAGTTATTATTACTATTATTATTATTATCATCATCATCATCATTATTGTCGTTATTATTATTATGAAATATATTTATTATTCATTTAACAAAACATAAACCGTCTTATCCTTCAAAATAAATACTTTAATGACTAAAGCTTCCTCTTTTTCAGCCAGATATGGTGGAGAAATCGAAAATATTTCTTGATAGGCTGAAGGTAAATTATCTTTACATTTGATTGTGTTTATTTGTTTTGATATTCAGTTAAAATATGACATATTCTTTTATTTTTCTGAGATTGTATTTAATCAAAATTAATTTCTTTTTTTTTTTTTTTTGATGGCCCTGAAATGCTTCATTCAAGACAATGCCAGAAAGGTTTCATTTATACACATTGGATTTCATTCTGATTTTATTTTTCAAATCTTTTCTTATATTCCTAGGAAGTAAAAGAGTCTCGTCTCAGAAGTCTTCACCAAAAGATATCACTGTTCCGAACTAAACAGGTTTCCTTTTATTTTTTTCTTTGTAACTTTTTCTCTCTTTGTTTTACTCTCGCAATGATATTAGGTTAATTAATGAATACCATATGTATGTCGATAAAGAATATTTCTGGTTTCTGTTTTTAATGAATATCACATTCCTCGCTCATTTTTTTTAGGAAAAATTCTACTTAAAAAAAAAAAATAGGAAAAAAAATGTAAAAGCATTAATAACGAGAGTAAAATTGCAATTTGTATTTATGATTGAAAAGTTTAATGTCTTTTCAAAATATTTTAATCATATGAACATTTATCAATATGCTTATCAAATACTTAGTATTTCAAATATATGTTCGTTATAGGTATAAAATATAAAATAATTTTAAATATACATTGCAATTTTACTTGATAAGTAAAAATTGCTCGTTAATATCGATATGACATCTGAATTGTTAAAAAAAATATCAAAGTTTGAAAATAATTATCCTACTTACTTAATGGATTCTATTTTACTTCATTTATTCAGGTGGACGAGAAAATTGTGCTCAATATGAAAATGAAGGTTTGTAACCTCTCTCTCTCTCTCTCTCTCTCTTTATATATATATATATATATATATATATATATATATATATATATATATATATATATATATATATATATATATATATATATATATATATATATATATATATATATATATATATATATATATATATATACAGCTGCTTTTTCAATAAAAACGGAACTCGTAAATTTACTTACCTTGTCATTGGTCATTTGCAATTATTATTTTGTTCAAAAAAATTCCGATTGTACACACAAGTACTCTGAAGTTGACATTAAAAAGATGCTTGAGTTTCTGATTGACAATATCTATGTGGTTTTTGGAGACCAGGTCTTCCAACAATCTATTGGAATTCCCATGGGTACCAATTGAGCCCCGTTATTAGCAAACCTTTTTTTGTATTCATATCAAGCAGAATTTGTCCAAAGTCTGTGAAAAGAGGAAAAAACACTTGCCTTGGCCTTCAACTCGACATTTAGATATATCGACGACGTATTGTCAATTAACAATGGCTATTTCCATTCTTATGTCGATACGATATATCCTTGTGAGCTTGAGATAAAAGATACCACAGAGTCTTACACATCTGTTTCATATTTGGATACTTTACTTGTAAAAGACGTTAATGGTAATCTAACAACCAAGCTTTATGATAAACATGATGACTTTAACTTTTCAATCGTCAACTTCCCTTACTTATGCAGCAATATACCTTCATCACCTGCATACGGGGTATATATCTCTCAGTTGATTCGATACGCAAGAGCATGCTTTACGTATGTACAATTTCTAAAACGAGGTAAATTATTGACAAACAAGTTGATGAAACAAGAATATCAGCTGTCTCGTTTAAAGTCATCATTTCGTAAGTTCTACAGTCGATACAATGACCTTGTCAGCAAATACAATTTATCATTGAGTCAAATGCTGACTGACGTTTTTCATACAAATTGTTAGGCCATTATTTACACACTGAATTGTCGACGGATTTTTCCGTTATTTTCCAATCATGACCAGGAGCACACGGCGGGTGTGACCGGTCGGCAGGGGATGCTCACTCCTCCATGGCACCTGACCCCACCTCTGATGCTTGGAGGTCCGTGTTTGCTCTGCTCCTATTTTGTATTGTTTGATGGATTTTTGAGTCTAATACTGTTCGTTATCTTCAAATATATATATATATATATATATATATATATATATATATATATATATATATATATATATATATATATATATATATATATATATATATATATATATATATATATATATATATATATATATATATATATATATATATATATATATATATATATATATATATATATATATATATATATATCATATGTTCAGTTAAAAACTTTATTTGCCTTAGGATCAAGAGAGGATTGACTTCGTTGAATTTCTGTCTGTGACTACAAGTACCATGCAAGGAATTATCCAAGTATGTATTTATTTAAGAACCAGTAATCTTTAGAGATTGAAATAATAGTATTCAATGCTGCCAGAGAGAGAGAGATTTGGAAGAAAAGTCTTAAGCTATCATCCTTGAAAGTTTCATATTTTCATACCAGACATTTTTTTTTTATTTAAGAGGCTGGGTAGTCAACAAATTACCCGACAGATGCACATAAAATATGTAATATGATTTCTTTACCTATAAACTATTACTTAGTAAAGAAAAAAAAATGTTCCACCCATAATATCTAGTTAACTATTTTAAATGATTTGATACTTTGATTTACTATGAAACTTTACTTGAAGTTTTTTGAAGATTTAGAACCTTTATCTTTTTAATATAAGAAAATTGATTATAAATGTAAAGATCTGAAATTCAGAGTAAATATACTTACTTGACTATAGTAAAAACTTTGATTTACCATAGTGAAAACTTTAATACTATAGTTCACTATAGTAAACTATAATAGTTTATTTTTCTGTTAGGGAATAGTCTAAAAATGGTCATGACCATCGGGCCATTTTACTAAGTTTGTTTGTTTGTTTATTTTTTTAACGTCCCTCTCGAGAATTTTTCACTCATATGGAGACGCCACCACTTGCCGGTGGAGAGCTACCAATTTTGACCTATACTCGGCACTCAGGCCATTGAGCAGTGAGGGATCTTTTTCGTGCCAGCACCTACTGCGACACGGGACCTCGGTTTATACGGTCTCATCCGAAGGACCGGTCTCCACGTTGCACAGTGGGATTTGAACCCGCAACGTAAGGATCAACTCCTTACTCCGCGACTCTAGAGCGAACGCTCTAACCACTGCGCCACGCGGGCGACGCCATTTTATTAAGAGAGTTTTCATTGGTTTCTTTTTTTACTAACATTCCTCAAACACACGACAATTCTGGCCTGTTAGAACCAAGTTTTTTGTTTTGTTTTGTTTTTAGTCCCCTACCGGTGAAACCGGAGGGGACTATAGGTTTCCTCTGAGTCTGTCCGTCCGTCTGTCTGTCCGTCTGTCTGTCTGTCCCTCTGTCTGTCTGTCAGTCAGTCTGTCCCACTTGGTTTTCCGCACTTTTTTCCTAAACGCTTGCAGATATTGAGCTGATTTTTGGTATGTGAGTGTATCTTGATGAGTTACAGATCAAGTTTGCATTTCGTTCCGCTTCATTGATTTTTGACGGAATTACGGCCTTTTCAATTTTTACGGGTTTTCCGCAATTTTCTTCTAAACGCTTGTAGATATTGAGCTGATTTTTGGTATGTGGCTTTACCTTGATTAGTTATAGATCAAGTTTGCATTTTGTCCCGCTTCATTAATTTTTGACGGAATTATGGCATTTTCAATTCTTAACGGGAACAGAACCAGATTACACTCGCCGTTAGGGGACTAGTATTGCTCATGCAATACTCTCAGAATGCTTGTTATGTTTTGCTTGTCAATGAATTTCTGCATGTTGTCCCCCACCCCCAACTGAAAATATTTCTACAGGCTAAATTGAAAGTGGAGGGATTTGGTTTTCCTGGTCTGTTCAGGACATTAATTAGTAATTGTATTTACAGGATTACAAGATCCCGATTCTTTTAAATGTGTTTAACTTCTGAGGAAAACGTTTACTCTTTCTGACTTGTTTAAATAAATATTGTTTAATTCCGAACAGTTATGTACCATTGAATAAAGATAAAAACGTTTTGTTCATGCTATTAGAGGCAATTCAGGATAAAATTTATAATTTTTATTAATATACTGCTTATATTTAATATTCTATTTTGTATTCATTCCAATTTTAGCACAGTCTGGATGACAGCACGTTGAATAGAATTTTGGATAATATGAGAAAACATCGAGGAACATTTAGCGTAAGTCGGTTAACAGTAATTAATGGTCATAAAATAATGAAAAAATAAATAAATAAATAAAATAATAGAGAATTTGAATTATTTTGTTATTTTGGTTATTCAAAAATTGCAGTATCTTTGTTTGAGAGGAGGAAATTATATGACAAGTAACTGTTTTCCGTTGAAAAGTACACCAATCTATAGGAACCATAACATTTAAATAATGTGAATATACATGTACACAAAAATGAAAACTTTTACGTGTTTAGGTGTTCCAATGAAGAGATTCATAGTTATTACATATGTATTTTATAACTAGCAATAAATGATTAAATTTACGTCTTCATGCAAGATTTTTTGTTCAATTGTTTGTGATCAATTAAAAAAAAAAGGGGGCCAAAGACTGGAGCCAAATATTTATTTGGATATAAATGTTACATTTTTTAGATATAAATTGTATGATATTTTCAAGGCGTAAAATATAATTCAGAAATGGAAAAATGATGAGAGGGTAAATGTTTTTATATTTAATGAATGTATGACGATCCTAATCTAACAATATTAAGCAAGATTTTACATTAGCTGACAAGACACTACTTGATCCTTACAAATAACGTTCTCGATTTCAGATTTTAAGCATTCCATAGTTAATCGATTCTTATCAGATACAATTTGTGTTTGTATTTGACATTACTACCGGTAATTGAATACTTTTGAAAGTACCACATCATTTCTCGTTTTATACACATCTCATTCTTTGCCTACAGTACCAAGACGAAGTACTCGAAGTGGAAGAAATCAACAAACGAAACCTTGGGAAAATGATCATACGACACGTCGGACATGAAGGAGTGGATGAAAAACCAGATCTCCGGCGTCTTTTTCAGGCTTGTATTGATTACCTACAAACGGAGTCGGAAAGGTTTTGGAGGAATGCCTCTATTACCATTTACGATGAGGAAGACAACATGTACAAAATAGCCAGTGGAACAAAGAAGCACCAATTCATCTGTCGGATGAAGGATGGAGAACCATTCATCAGAGATAAAAGGGCTGCTTCGGACTACAAAAAGCCCAAGCAGAGTCCTCCTCCTTCTACTCACACGACTCACTGCCATCATCATAAAAATCAAGATAAAAGTTGTATAATTTCCTAAATCGGACAACACTTGCTATTGTAAAAACAAAACAAATAGTTTTTGTGTTTTGTTTTCTTGTATTTTACCAAAATTTGATTTCAAATACTTTTTTTAGAATATAAAGACATTGATCCCGATATTGTGCATGTGTTATAAATCTATTGGTTTTATAATTAGTTAAAATATGAAAATAACGAATCTACCTTCTTTTTTGACTAAGTAAAATTTTTTAAAAATCAGAATATTCTTTCAGCCATGTTTATAATCCTGTATATACGATATTTGGATTCTGACTCAATCACAGGACAAGGCATTAAAATGAATGAAGGTGTATGGTTGAATGTAGCAAAGTCTCGTGGTTAAATGAGTTTATTTTCGTCGATAATTAATCATCTTTACTTTAAAAATTAATGCTTTGAAACTTTTTTGTCAGAGGAAATATCTAACATTTTAACTTATGAATCCATTTAAAAACTTTCAAGTTTGTTTAATAAACAAATACAAAGAGATGATTTTTTTTTATTAATTTTTACATTTTTTTTAATAATACTTTGACTTAATTTTTGACTTAAGTCTGTTCTCATTTTATTGTCTTAAGACGTAAACTTCTTGTAGATGGTGAAAATATTAGCAGGGGAAATAAGCCCCTCTAGGATGTTTCACATTTGTACATGTAATGATATTCCGCGAGCGTTGCGATCACTAAAACCCCTTTACAAAGAGTTGGTGACCGTTGAGAGATGGTTGGACCTTACAAAATTCCTAAGATCTCTGATTGATCTTTCTGTGGTTGTCCAGCATCTCAATGATCTCTAAAAATCTTCCAAAAATCTCCACAGTTTCCATGGTTTATTTAAAGTTTACGTTCTACCAAAAACAGTCTCTCAAAGATCGCAAATATACAATGAACGCCAAAAAGAAGCAGGAAGAATGTCATTACATGTACGAGGATTTTTTGGATATGGAACATTAATCAAGCTCGAAGTCTATAGAAAAACTACAAATCAGGAGCAAATCAAATACGGACCTCTAAAAACATCAGGGGTGGGAATACCGTGGGATCAGTTCCCATGGAGGAGTAAGCATCCCTGTCGACCGGTCACGCCCGCCGTGTGCTTCTTGTTATGATCGGGAAAACGGAAAAATCCGTAGACAATACAATTTGTAAATAATGGGTTAACAATTAGTATGAAAACCGACAGTCAGCATTCAACTTAATGATATTTTGTATTTGCTGACAAGGTCAATTGCGAAATAATGACTTTAAACAAAACTGTTTCACCAACTTGTTTGTCAATTGTTTTCCTCGTTTTATAAACTGTTACTACGTAGAGCATGCTCTTGCATATCGAATCAACTGGGAGACAGAAACCCCATATGCAGGTGATAAGAGTATATTGCTACATAAGTATATAAGGGAAGTTGACGATAGAAAAGTTGAAGTCATCACGTTTATCATAAAGTTTTGTTGTTAGGTTTCCATTAACGTCTTTTTCTAGTAAAATATCCAAATATGAAACAGATGTGTCAGACTCTGTGGTATCTTTTATTTCAAGTTCACGGGGATATATCGAATCGACATATGATAATTGATAATACCTCGTCGATATATCTTAATTTCGAGTTGAAGGTCACAGCAAATGTTTTCTTCTTCTCATGTACAAGCTAATAACGGTCTAACTGGATTTAAATCAATGGAACGTTCGCCACAATCATGAAACCACGACATTTAATTTATCAAACTGGAAATTAAAAGCTAGTTGTTGTTTTTTTGTTTTTTTTTTTATTGAATTGTTTTTAGTTGACACGAATTTTTTTTATTTGACACGAATGTGCTCTGGTAGAAATGAAAACACAACAAAAGCGTAAGTAGATTTCTTAATGTTTTTATTATATAATATGTCAAAAATTTGATGAAATATCCTATTATAACTATACTATATCTTATTTACTCAGATGGGATGGGACAAAACTGGGACAATTTTCACTGAATGACTAATGTTTACATAATCAGGTGACACATATTTTGAAAGTTTGGAGCAAATTTATATTTAATATTGTTGTGCAGGAGTTCTTGAAACCGATTTTTCCTATCCTTATTTTTTATTTAAAAGCCATGTTCATATAAAAGCAGTGTTTGTGTAAGTAGAATTTTGCGCAGTGAAATTTTTATGTTGTCATTTCACTTTGTATGGAAACTCGTGTTGTTCAAGATTCGTCAGAAAGGGGAGAGAGAAGGGGGAGAGAAAGAAAGAGAGAAAAAAGATTATCTTAATTAATTTTACTGATAAAAATTAACTTTATTTATTAAAGAAAAAATTTATTGATAAAAATCGTATTATCATATTCATATAACGTTCATATAGACCGGGCTGCTCTATACATAAAAATTTAAGTTTGAGGTGGATATGGAACATTAATCAAGCTCGAAGTCTATAGAAAAACTACAAATCAGGAGCAGATCAAATACGGACCTCTAAAAACATCAGGGGTGGGAATACCGTGGGATCAGTTCCCATGGAGGAGTAAGCATCCCTGTCGACCGGTCACGCCCGCCGTGTGCTTCTTGTTATGATCGGGAAAACGGAAAAATCCGTAGACAATACAATTTGTAAATAATGGGTTAACAATTAGTATGAAAACCGACAGTCAGCATTCAACTTAATGATATTTTGTATTTGCTGACAAGGTCAATTGCGAAATAATGACTTTAAACAAAACTGTTTCACCAACTTGTTTGTCAATTGTTTTCCTCGTTTTATAAACTGTTACTACGTAGAGCATGCTCTTGCATATCGAATCAACTGGGAGACAGAAACCCCATATGCAGGTGATAAGAGTATATTGCTACATAAGTATATAAGGGAAGTTGACGATAGAAAAGTTGAAGTCATCACGTTTATCATAAAGTTTTGTTGTTAGGTTTCCATTAACGTCTTTTTCTAGTAAAATATCCAAATATGAAACAGATGTGTCAGACTCTGTGGTATCTTTTATTTCAAGTTCACGGGGATATATCGAATCGACATATGATAATTGATAATACCTCGTCGATATATCTTAATTTCGAGTTGAAGGTCACAGCAAATGTTTTCTTCTTCTCATGTACAAGCTAATAACGGTCTAACTGGATTTAAATCAATGGAACGTTCGCCACAATCATGAAACCACGACATTTAATTTATCAAACTGGAAATTAAAAGCTAGTTGTTGTTTTTTTTTTTTATTGAATTGTTTTTAGTTGACACGAATTTTTTTTATTTGACACGAATGTGCTCTGGTAGAAATGAAAACACAACAAAAGCGTAAGTAGATTTCTTAATGTTTTTATTATATAATATGTCAAAAATTTGATGAAATATCCTATTATAACTATACTATATCTTATTTACTCAGATGGGATGGGACAAAACTGGGACAATTTTCACTGAATGACTAATGTTTACATAATCAGGTGACACATATTTTGAAAGTTTGGAGCAAATTTATATTTAATATTGTTGTGCAGGAGTTCTTGAAACCGATTTTTCCTATCCTTATTTTTTATTTAAAAGCCATGTTCATATAAAAGCAGTGTTTGTGTAAGTAGAATTTTGCGCAGTGAAATTTTTATGTTGTCATTTCACTTTGTATGGAAACTCGTGTTGTTCAAGATTCGTCAGAAAGGGGAGAGAGAAGGGGGAGAGAAAGAAAGAGAGAAAAAAGATTATCTTAATTAATTTTACTGATAAAAATTAACTTTATTTATTAAAGAAAAAATTTATTGATAAAAATCGTATTATCATATTCATATAACGTTCATATAGACCGGGCTGCTCTATACATAAAAATTTAAGTTTGAGGTGGATATGGAACATTAATCAAGCTCGAAGTCTATAGAAAAACTACAAATCAGGAGCAAATCAAATACGGACCTCTAAAAACATCAGGGGTGGGAATACCGTGGGATCAGTTCCCATGGAGGAGTAAGCATCCCTGTCGACCGGTCACGCCCGCCGTGTGCTTCTTGTTATGATCGGGAAAACGGAAAAATCCGTAGACAATACAATTTGTAAATAATGGGTTAACAATTAGTATGAAAACCGACAGTCAGCATTCAACTTAATGATATTTTGTATTTGCTGACAAGGTCAATTGCGAAATAATGACTTTAAACAAAACTGTTTCACCAACTTGTTTGTCAATTGTTTTCCTCGTTTTATAAACTGTTACTACGTAGAGCATGCTCTTGCATATCGAATCAACTGGGAGACAGAAACCCCATATGCAGGTGATAAGAGTATATTGCTACATAAGTATATAAGGGAAGTTGACGATAGAAAAGTTGAAGTCATCACGTTTATCATAAAGTTTTGTTGTTAGGTTTCCATTAACGTCTTTTTCTAGTAAAATATCCAAATATGAAACAGATGTGTCAGACTCTGTGGTATCTTTTATTTCAAGTTCACGGGGATATATCGAATCGACATATGATAATTGATAATACCTCGTCGATATATCTTAATTTCGAGTTGAAGGTCACAGCAAATGTTTTCTTCTTCTCATGTACAAGCTAATAACGGTCTAACTGGATTTAAATCAATGGAACGTTCGCCACAATCATGAAACCACGACATTTAATTTATCAAACTGGAAATTAAAAGCTAGTTGTTGTTTTTTTGTTTTTTTTTTTATTGAATTGTTTTTAGTTGACACGAATTTTTTTTATTTGACACGAATGTGCTCTGGTAGAAATGAAAACACAACAAAAGCGTAAGTAGATTTCTTAATGTTTTTATTATATAATATGTCAAAAATTTGATGAAATATCCTATTATAACTATACTATATCTTATTTACTCAGATGGGATGGGACAAAACTGGGACAATTTTCACTGAATGACTAATGTTTACATAATCAGGTGACACATATTTTGAAAGTTTGGAGCAAATTTATATTTAATATTGTTGTGCAGGAGTTCTTGAAACCGATTTTTCCTATCCTTATTTTTTATTTAAAAGCCATGTTCATATAAAAGCAGTGTTTGTGTAAGTAGAATTTTGCGCAGTGAAATTTTTATGTTGTCATTTCACTTTGTATGGAAACTCGTGTTGTTCAAGATTCGTCAGAAAGGGGAGAGAGAAGGGGGAGAGAAAGAAAGAGAGAAAAAAGATTATCTTAATTAATTTTACTGATAAAAATTAACTTTATTTATTAAAGAAAAAATTTATTGATAAAAATCGTATTATCATATTCATATAACGTTCATATAGACCGGGCTGCTCTATACATAAAAATTTAAGTTTGAGGTGGATATGGAACATTAATCAAGCTCGAAGTCTATAGAAAAACTACAAATCAGGAGCAGATCAAATACGGACCTCTAAAAACATCAGGGGTGGGAATACCGTGGGATCAGTTCCCATGGAGGAGTAAGCATCCCTGTCGACCGGTCACGCCCGCCGTGTGCTTCTTGTTATGATCGGGAAAACGGAAAAATCCGTAGACAATACAATTTGTAAATAATGGGTTAACAATTAGTATGAAAACCGACAGTCAGCATTCAACTTAATGATATTTTGTATTTGCTGACAAGGTCAATTGCGAAATAATGACTTTAAACAAAACTGTTTCACCAACTTGTTTGTCAATTGTTTTCCTCGTTTTATAAACTGTTACTACGTAGAGCATGCTCTTGCATATCGAATCAACTGGGAGACAGAAACCCCATATGCAGGTGATAAGAGTATATTGCTACATAAGTATATAAGGGAAGTTGACGATAGAAAAGTTGAAGTCATCACGTTTATCATAAAGTTTTGTTGTTAGGTTTCCATTAACGTCTTTTTCTAGTAAAATATCCAAATATGAAACAGATGTGTCAGACTCTGTGGTATCTTTTATTTCAAGTTCACGGGGATATATCGAATCGACATATGATAATTGATAATACCTCGTCGATATATCTTAATTTCGAGTTGAAGGTCACAGCAAATGTTTTCTTCTTCTCATGTACAAGCTAATAACGGTCTAACTGGATTTAAATCAATGGAACGTTCGCCACAATCATGAAACCACGACATTTAATTTATCAAACTGGAAATTAAAAGCTAGTTGTTGTTTTTTTTTTTTATTGAATTGTTTTTAGTTGACACGAATTTTTTTTATTTGACACGAATGTGCTCTGGTAGAAATGAAAACACAACAAAAGCGTAAGTAGATTTCTTAATGTTTTTATTATATAATATGTCAAAAATTTGATGAAATATCCTATTATAACTATACTATATCTTATTTACTCAGATGGGATGGGACAAAACTGGGACAATTTTCACTGAATGACTAATGTTTACATAATCAGGTGACACATATTTTGAAAGTTTGGAGCAAATTTATATTTAATATTGTTGTGCAGGAGTTCTTGAAACCGATTTTTCCTATCCTTATTTTTTATTTAAAAGCCATGTTCATATAAAAGCAGTGTTTGTGTAAGTAGAATTTTGCGCAGTGAAATTTTTATGTTGTCATTTCACTTTGTATGGAAACTCGTGTTGTTCAAGATTCGTCAGAAAGGGGAGAGAGAAGGGGGAGAGAAAGAAAGAGAGAAAAAAGATTATCTTAATTAATTTTACTGATAAAAATTAACTTTATTTATTAAAGAAAAAATTTATTGATAAAAATCGTATTATCATATTCATATAACGTTCATATAGACCGGGCTGCTCTATACATAAAAATTTAAGTTTGAGGTGGATATGGAACATTAATCAAGCTCGAAGTCTATAGAAAAACTACAAATCAGGAGCAAATCAAATACGGACCTCTAAAAACATCAGGGGTGGGAATACCGTGGGATCAGTTCCCATGGAGGAGTAAGCATCCCTGTCGACCGGTCACGCCCGCCGTGTGCTTCTTGTTATGATCGGGAAAACGGAAAAATCCGTAGACAATACAATTTGTAAATAATGGGTTAACAATTAGTATGAAAACCGACAGTCAGCATTCAACTTAATGATATTTTGTATTTGCTGACAAGGTCAATTGCGAAATAATGACTTTAAACAAAACTGTTTCACCAACTTGTTTGTCAATTGTTTTCCTCGTTTTATAAACTGTTACTACGTAGAGCATGCTCTTGCATATCGAATCAACTGGGAGACAGAAACCCCATATGCAGGTGATAAGAGTATATTGCTACATAAGTATATAAGGGAAGTTGACGATAGAAAAGTTGAAGTCATCACGTTTATCATAAAGTTTTGTTGTTAGGTTTCCATTAACGTCTTTTTCTAGTAAAATATCCAAATATGAAACAGATGTGTCAGACTCTGTGGTATCTTTTATTTCAAGTTCACGGGGATATATCGAATCGACATATGATAATTGATAATACCTCGTCGATATATCTTAATTTCGAGTTGAAGGTCACAGCAAATGTTTTCTTCTTCTCATGTACAAGCTAATAACGGTCTAACTGGATTTAAATCAATGGAACGTTCGCCACAATCATGAAACCACGACATTTAATTTATCAAACTGGAAATTAAAAGCTAGTTGTTGTTTTTTTTTTTTATTGAATTGTTTTTAGTTGACACGAATTTTTTTTATTTGACACGAATGTGCTCTGGTAGATATGAAAATACAACAAAAGCGTAAGTAGATTTCTTAATGTTTTTATTATATAATATGTCAAAAATTTGATGAAATATCCTATTATAACTATACTATATCTTATTTACTCAGATGGGATGGGACAAAACTGGGACAATTTTCACTGAATGACTAATGTTTACATAATCAAGTGATCCATATTTTGAAAGTTTGGAGCAATTTTATATTTAATATTGTTGTGCAGGAGTTCTTGAAACCGATTTTTCCTATCCTTATTTATTATTAAAAAGCCATGTTCGTATAAAAGCAGTGTTTGTGTAAGTAGAATTTTGCGCACTGAAATTTTTATTTGTCATTTTACTTTGTATGGAAACTCGTGTTGTTCAAGATTCGTCAAAAAGGGGAGAGAGACGGGGGAGAGAAAGAAAGAGAGTAAGCATTCAAAAAGATTATCTTAATTAATTTTATTGATAAAAATTAACTTTATTTATTAAAGAAAAAACTTATTGATAAAAATTATCTTCAAATTTTCAGTTGTTGTTTTTTTCTTAACGTTCGTATTATCATATTCATATAACGTTCATATAGACCGGGCTGCTCTATACGTGAAAGTTTAAGTTTGAGGTGGGAGTTATTCAGAATTAAAGGTTTACTATACATTAAAAAAGATTATACATCAGAATGTTCTTTCCATTTATAAATTACGAGATACACAATATATTTACTTCCATGAAGTACATCTTTAAAAATGTATATGTTTTTTTCATATATAATATACAAAGTTGCTTATCATTTACTATCGACAAAACGACAGGTCCCTGTTTTAGATCATTAGACTTTACTTTTTGCATAAAAACGTACGTTACACAGTTTTTGTTTTATATTCATTAAGTCAAATATATTTTTGATGATAGGTGATACATGTGTCTGATTCAACAGCCAACATTTATACTTGAGGAAATGATAACGTTTAAAACGGTATCGTTTTTGTTCGATTTTCATCCGATTAGAAGCCTTCCGTAAATGTTCTCCACTACATGTATAGTCTCAATCAAGTCAAGTATTTTATTTATAGTCGGCATGTATATACAGTATAACAGAATAACATGAGCTGTGATAGCTCGATCTTTAACCAACTTTAACAAATTTACACAAAGGTAAAAGTAAAAATATACATAGTTAGTATAAAAAAAAGCATAATTTAAATGAACCATAGGAAATAAGCACATATACTAGCAATTACAAGAAAAAAGACTGAAATTAAAAAAAAAAAAAAAGCATAAATTTATAATGCACATGTATGACTATCACAGGTAAGAAGAATCACAAAGCACAATACAGAACAAACATTTACTATCACTGATCATGCCGATGAAAAAAAAACTAAAATAAACAAAGACAAAGCACATTTACTAGCACTGATAGAAGAGAAAAACTGAAGAAAAAAATACAAGGAAAGCAACATAGATAGTAATTATACATATGACAAGCACACATATGGACATGTACAATCACAGAACAGGAAAATATAAACAGAGCAAAATCTAAAGCAAATTCATATTAGAAATAAAAGATACACCACAGAAGAACACTTAGAAAGGCTTCTCAGACATATGCAGCATGGACTGGCCCCAAGACCATAAAATGAGAACAGACTTAAGTCAAAATTTCAAACTATTATAACTTTTGAAATAATTTTGATATTGAAACAAAATTTTCATCATATATTTGAATATACACAACATTGCAAAATTTTAAGCAAATAGATTAAATAAAACTCAAGATATTAAAAATCAAAATTTTGACTTAAGTCTGTTCTCAGTTTATGGTCTTGGGGCCTGGTGTTTACATAACCTACATTTACATTTCTGATTTCCACACCAAGTAGATATATAGTTTTTAAATAAATTGAAGGAAGTTGTGTTTCGAATATCATTAGGAAGAGTATTCCATATCCTTGCTGCCTCATATCTGAAAGAATCTTTTCCATACCTTGTAGTTTTGGGTCTAGGGATTTCTGCGGCCTTAGAATACCTAAAATTATATGAATTTTCTCTAATTATAACCAGATCTTGGAGAAAGACTGGACTCTTTTTATTAATAATTTTAAATGTTTCTAGTGCTAGCAATCTCATTCTTCTAGTCTTTAGAGAGGGTAATTTGGGTCTTTTCAAAAGTTGTTCATATGAACTTTTATAGTCATTATAAATAAAACGCAACGCTATTAACTGAATTTTCTCAATTTTTTGAGTATTTAACTCACTACAGAAATGCCCAGTCAGGGGGCAATAACTAAAATTCGACATAATAAAATTATGATATACGGTAAGCTTTCCCAATCTATTCAAGTATTTCCCAATCCGTTTCAAAACATTTAGTTGTCTTGCTGCCTTCTTACACGTCTCTGAGATATGAGTATTAAAATTTAGTTTAAAATCAATTGTAATTCCTAAAAGTTTAACTTCATCTTCACATTTGATGAAAACATTTTCCAAGTTAAAAGATATTTGTTTCTTTTGTGTTTTGGACCCAATTGCAATTTGAAATTTTTCAGGATTTGCCTTCATTTTATTAATTGAAAACCATTTAATAAGAGATAAACTGTCCTCCTGTAAGGAATTTATGACATGTTGTAACGTATTGTGAGATTTTGCTAGAGTATTGTCATCTGCATAATTATAGAGGGTATAGTTTTTAACAAAAAAATCATGCGATCATTCAGACGCATGGCTTTATCACACAAATCGAAGCGATTTGATGATCAAGACTAATTTCCATTGTTATCGGAAGAATTTGGCGGTAAAAAATGCGACTGATAGGAACAAACCACCTATTGTACATTGTATGACCTATGACTACAGTGCTGTTATTGACTTTCAAATAACTAGGTAGTCGCCCGCGTGACGCAGTGGTTAGATCGTTTGCTCTAGAGTCGCGGAGTAAGGAGTCAAAACTTAGGTCGCAGTTGGAATCCCACTGCAGGACGTGTAGACCGGTCCTTCGAATGAGACTATATAAACCGAGGTCCCGTGTCGCAGTAGGTACTGGCACTAAAAAAGATCCCTCACTGCTCGAGGGCCGAAAGCGCCGACTACAGATTTAAATTTGCAGCAAGTGGTGCCGTCTCAATATGAGTGATAAATTCTCGAAGGGACGTTAAACAAAAACAAAACAAACAAACAAATAACTAGGTCATTGACCTACTTTTCATGTTAACGACCCCGAATATTTTTCAGAAAATTACAAAATATAACAATTAACAACACTCTTGTGATAATGAAATATATAAAGAAAACGGAATAGTGTTGCTAACATAAATACACAATTAGAAATTGAACAATTTATAAACCATTTAATTATTCCTGTCCGAATTTCCTCTGTCGATTTTCTAAATTTTACTCATTTTTAATCAAATATTACAAAAAATTTAATGATAGGAACTCTTAACTATCTATATATAGCCTCAGCTTACTAATATTGTCCTTATTCTGTTGGCGTTATGATTATATGAGGTGAATGATCAAATTCTTTAGATAAGTTTTCTGGAATTTTTTTTTTATTAATATATTTTTGATATTCTTCATTGCACGTTATCTAATTATTTGACATAATGCACGAGTCTTAATACATGTATTAGGTCGCCCATGTGGCGCAGTGGTAGAGCGTCTACTAGAGTCGCGGAGTAAGGAGTTGACTTTACGTCGCGGGTTTGAATCCCACTGTGGGACGTGGGGACCGGTCCTTCGGATGAGACCGTATAAACCGAGGTCCCGTGGCGTAGTAGGTACTGAAACGAAAAAGATCCCTCACTGCTCAATGGCCCTGAGTGCCGAGCATAGGTCAAAATTAGCAGCTCTCCATCGGCAAGTGGTGGCATCTCCATGTGAGTGAAAAGTTCTCGAGAGGGATGTTAAACAACAAAAAACAAACAAACAAACATAATACATGTATTATTTGCAAATGATATTTTTAAAAAAGCATAGCAACTTAAATTTCAGAAATTTATAAAAATAATGAAAAATTAAAATTTCGTCCGAATTTTCAATTAATAAATCTGCTTTTGTTTCAGCATATTTTCTTCAAATGGTAAAAAAACAATTTGATAGCGATTTATTATACAAGAAGTTTTGATGTTAGATAATGTACTTTATAGCAATCTTTTTCTGTCAATAAAAACCCTGAATAACCGTCATTCTTAAAAGGGTGGAAATAAAATAAGTGTTCATTGTGAATGTGGAAACACAAAAAGTATTTATTGAGAATTTCACTTGTTATACACCTTGTATTTGGTGATTCTCCTATAATGTGTTCTAATCATTGCTGTTTTTGATTGAAGTGAGAGGAAATTCGGGTGGTAGAATAATTGTTTGTCTATATTCGTGTTTACTATATAAATCACATTTAGTCACAGTATAATCATACTGATAGTATATATTTTACTTGAATTTCTCCTGCTTTCATTTTTGTATCCATTTTGATATTAAGATAAAGGCGAATCACATATAATGTAATAACGCTTACAAGTAGGATCAAGTACCATCCACTGATAACGGTTTGTGACAGAGCCTTCTCTTTTTCTTGAGTCAGACACTTTATATTTTCACACTGGTAATAAATCTAAAGCCTTTTTATTTTTATTGAATAGTACTACATTTCACTACAATTTGATCTTCATAGCCTTATTTGCTGCATAGTGTTGACCGTTAATCGAAGAATGTATGAGTTTAAATTTATGTTAACATGAATCTGACACATGAATGTCTATAATTGATAGAGCACTAAGAAGGTATAGATGGAGGATTACATACTTCTGCGAGAGGAGGAGTATCCCAGCCTGCTGGAGGAATTAAAAAAACTGCTGCCGGCGTCACTTATGGTAAGCATAATTAACCGAGGAAGTTTTTATCTTACCTCTGTGCTTTTATTGTTTGAATTATAATCTTAGTAGGTCTGTTGTAATCGAGCAAACCCTTTAAAATTTGACTTTGAGGATTAAAAATATATCAATTTACCAAAGAATCGGGAAGTAAACTAAATACAATTGTCGAGAACATAGCTAGGACATAAACTTCTAAGCATGTTGTTAAAATGAAATATGATCAAATCTAAAATTTTCTGTTAAATTATAGGGTATGCAGACAAAAAAAATATTTCTTCTAAAATTAAAAAAAACTTACTAGTATCAGTAGAAGACCAACGTCATATTTTTAACTATGACTTCAATTACGTTATTTTGACGTAACGTCCATGTGTACCAAAACCGTGCGCAACGCGAACAGTTACAATAGCTACTTTTCGGACCTTTCCGTCAAGCGGAAAAACAAATCTTTACCTCTTACGCTTCAAAATATACAAGATGGAAAAGAAGGACAGTTAAAAATATTTCACTTGGAAGATTTTTTGGTTTGAAAGTATCTTGTCTAGTACCTGAATAGGAAATTTCGTTGGCCATTCAAGTTTTGAACATTTTCAAAATTACCGCCATGATTTTCAAAATGGCGGTATTTCCTATATTGCATACATGTACGAGGGTGATCAAAAATTTTTCGAACTATCTCTATATATACAAAACACCGATTCAGATCAGAATGAAATTTGGCAACATATAGTCATACACAGGTTCTATAAATAGCTGGTGCCATGTAATGTTTTGCTTCATGTTTGTGACGTCACAATGTGAAAATGACGTCAATATGTAGGTGACTTGTGACAAAAAATGGTTGACTCAGTCGTACTCGAGCAACAAACGGCTGTAAAGTTTAACGTGTATCTTGGAAATTCCTTTGCAGTAGCATATAATAATTTGTACAACGTTAATGAAGACTAAAGACTTGCCAAAAGTTTAATCATTAATTGGACTGTTAGACCCCGAGGGTCTCCACAGCCCAGTAACCTAGTACTTCGGTACTAGCTTGAAAATACGGATCTATATTTAATCTCTGTGTACTTCGGTACTAGCTTAAAATACGGATATATATTTAATCTCTGTGGTAATATTTAGAAATTTATTTCAAAATTAAGGATTATCTCCCTCATGCATAGCTCTGATCCTTCGACGTATTTGGCTCCAGTCTTTGGCACTTTTTTCAGCTCTTCGAATTCTTTTTATTTAAATTTTGGATTCCCAACCTTTCGGCTTAAGCATCACTGAAGAGACATAATTTGTCGAAATGCACATCTGGTGCATCAAAATTGGTACCGTATATGATTTACATTGATTGTTTAAGTGAAGAAAGGGAGATGATTAAAAATGACGTTGTTCTGTTGCCCAGTGAAAGCAAGCGAGGAAAGAGGTGTGTCTCTAGTTGAGCAATTTGTAATGAAAGATCGCCAAGTTACAGTTAGAAAAATAGTTGAATATCTTAACAACAATATAATTATTGAATCCCTAAAATATTATTTATTTGAGACTTTGAACATATCAGATATGATAAAAAGAAGGCTCCCATACTTTATCCACATTGGATATATGATGCTCCCAAAACAGAGGACTTGGGTTACGATGGTCACCATGCTCATTCTGGGTAAGGGTATCCTTATCCACCCATCCTATTGCCGAGATTTGGTCTTTTTGAGAAATTGGCTATTCTTGTTGTAAAAAATAACTTGCATGAAAGAAATATAAGACTCTGAAAAATCCCTCAGCTTCTGTGAACAGAACGCTACGGAGCATGTCACGTGACAGTCTGGATAACGTGATTCGCGCATGGGCAGAATGGTGGAAGATGTGCATTAATATCGGAGAGGACTACTTTAAAAAATAATGAACACCGAAAACTAATTTTATTTCTTTTATGGAAGTGATTCAATTAGTTCGCGAACTTTTTGATCACCCCTCGTACTTGTATTTAGCATTTTCAATTTTTTTTCTCAAACATTTCTTAAAATCTTTGAAATAATCAAAAGTGTTATTACATGTATATATGCAGAGAGTTATGCTAACATACATGTTGCCACCGTTTTATAGTATTCACCTAATCTTCAGAACAGGTAGCTGTATAAATCAGTACAAGTTAATTGTTAATCCTTATCTGAAAAAATTGTAGTTAGCCAAACAAATGATACTACACCTTTTCAAGTATTTCTTGGCACGAGGCTGTCATTGGCGCCAAAGACGTCCCGTATAGGGCTTTTTGTAGTTAGTCAAACAAGTAATTCTACACCTGTTTAAGTATTTCTTGGCATGAGGTTGTCATTGCTGCCAAAGATGTCCCGTGTGGAACCCAAACTCCGGTATATTTTTCACATACATGTATTTAAAGGTCAAGGTATGCTCTCCTTCCAAGACCGATCTGTTTATATGCTCATAAAGAGCAACCCTTGAGAAGAGAAATGCCATCAAGAGAACCCTGTTTCGTGTAAAGATGTCAAGAAAGAAGGATTTCATGTTGGTGTTGAATATTCCAAATTTGGCGTTCTCTGACGTTGATATGGACTTTTATGCTAATTTTAAATTTGTAAAATTCTTTTACAATGCAATATGCAGATGCAATATGCCTTCCCATTGCCTTCTCTCTGTTATTGCTGTTTTGACAATCTATGCATTCATGTCACACTTTAGGATTTAATGTGTCGTTTTAGAATTTCTTCTCACCATAGTAGTGCATGCTGATCTTGATTGATTTACAAATTAGAAACGATATATTGCGTAATTTAAATGCATTTTAACAATTAATTCTGCTTTTGTTAAAACAAAATATGATGTTTAATATGTCTTGTATAAAGTGTAATTATAACAAAAATATATCACAAAACGGCCAAAGATATTACTGTAAATCGATCGTATAGCAGTATAGAAATGTCGCCATTTTGTTTAGCGGCAGCCATGTTGAAAATGGCGGAAGTTGCATTCATTTGACCAGCGACGATTTTAGAAACAGTTTTAACCGACTGATAATTGTGTTGAATTTCATGCTTGTCTCCACAAGTGAAATATTTGGGTGAAATTGTGCTTTTACTCTCTACACTAGGAAGACTAAAATAAGATAAATGAGTTGCTTTGTATATGAAATTTTATATTCTGTGTTGGACATGAATCCGTGGGTCTCTTCATAGTAATGATACTATGAAAACAAAAACAACAAAAATAACCTAGGAAAATGAGTGATTTCACAGTATCTTCAAAGATGGCTTTTTGTAACCATTTGGTACATATCCTCGCTATATCCTTTTCTTCAGCATACCTAGCCTTACATTATTATTTTTTAAAAGAATTTTAAATAACATACAAATGTTTACCAAGCGTTTGAAGATCGAATGTTTATAAAGTACATGTAAATCCAATAAAGAAAATATTTTCGTTTAGTTTAATTTCTTTATAGGTGTATTATCCATTGATGTTGGCCAATGAAAATCTCCTCCGGAAATATAAAACCGTCTGTGTCGACAAATGGCCGGAGTTTGATTGTGTGTTAGAGGTGGAAAACTTGGTACGTTGTGCAGATTATTTACATGTTCAGACAATCGAGACTTGTCTCTAGCAGCATTCATATTTTCAACTTATTGTAGTTTGTTTTTCGGCGATCATATAATAGTCTTGCACTGACAAAATCAATAGAGTCTGATCCTCCTTCAAAAGGTATCTTATCCAGAGTAAAACGTTTAAACATATTTCTTTTACTACAAATGCAGATAAAACATGTTTGCTCACAAAAAGTTGCTGCATGAAATGTATACTTAAATACCTGATATTGTCAGGAATTTTTCAGGCTGATGATGTGTCCCCACACAGAGTGAATGCCTTCTGTAGGAGGGAGGAATGTAGTGTTCGTCTAAATAGCATGATTTGTCAGCTCCTTCAGAAATCACCATGCGATATTCTCGTTTACGGTATCATTCATAGTAATCCTTTTGATCTTTGCAAGTGCGGATATTTCAGGTATATTTTGAAGTTCATTTTTAATTCATAGAAATGCAAATGAGTTTTAATTACAAAAAGAAGACTTCTCACTGATATATATGTAATATTCTGATATTAGGTGGACCAAGACGGATGAAGGAGATAATTTCTAAGTCAGGCGATCCAAACACCCCTAAGATTTCGGCTTCAGGGTGCTGTAAGCATTTTGTAATTTATTGTTTATTACTTGTTTTTCATTTAATCACCATTTTGTGTAAGAAGTCTTTCCCAGGATGAGATATGTACCTCCACTTGACTGTACTATATACGGACATTTTTTTTGTTTTATACGTTCCTTCGCAATCCATGGCTTTTCAGTCCGCAATGTTTCCCACAGAGTCGTTAATGACATGATCTGCCAAGGGGTCGTAGGGAGTTTTGGCTTGAAAAGATGATAGCACTGTCATTCTAACTGTACCGTTTTCCAATTTTTATTTAAACGTATACGAGGACAGTCTTTCGCGATTCTCAGACTCTGTATGTTTTTCTTTACGGAACCTATTTGTTCTTAACAGTAACGTCTGCGATTTCTCAATCCAACAGAAGCTCTTGAAGGTTTGGAAATACGTTTAAAATGCGTGTATTTGATCGGTTTGTTATATCAGTTAAAACATGTATTGATGATTCCATTTATCATTTAAGGAAGAAGTGAATATTGATATATAGTAGTAAATTCACTTGTCTGTCCAATACATAGGTGGATCCAAGAGTGTTCAAGGAACTGGCCCCACAGATCTTGGATTTAGCAATGCCTACAGAGTATCCAAAGATACCTTAAAGCGATGGTACATTAAATTTTTCATTTATTTTTATCGAACAATTCCTTTCTGAAAACCATTTTTTTTACCCATCCTGTCTCTTCTTTTGTTTGGAATTGTTGTAGTGAAGTTCCTCCCAATTTTTCTGTCACAAGCATAAAGAAAGAATACATGGACTTAATCCTAACTAATTGGCCGCACTCAAAAGTTTTAAGTGATGCAAAGGAATTTTTCACACCTATGGCCACCTCCTTGGAATCTGTTTGTATCCTCAACGAATCAGGAGAACCTGCGGCTTGGGGTTTTGAACAACATTACGGAGCAATTGGGCTTATATATGTATTACCAGAGTACCGTAGGAAGAAACTCGGCAGTGCTGTTGTTTCTCTTCTCTCGGAGAAAATCCTTAGGAAACATGACTTTGTGTACACAGCTATTGAGGCGGAAAACACCAAGTCCATTACATTGCATAAAAAGCTTGGCTACGAGGAATGTGACGTATATCCTGAACGTATCTTCAACTGGTTTCTTTACGAGAAAGAAAAGAAAGGAACAGATAAATGTTGTCAGTAGTTCTACATAAGCTTTATATATATATATATATATATATATATATATATATATATATATATATATATATATATATATATATATATATATATATATATATATATATATATAAACAACGACAAGTTGTAAAACGTTAGCGCTTTCATTTCAAATTCTTCAGACGTTTTACTTTAAACATTTGACGTTAAAATGTTATCATACATGTATATATAAGTTGTTTCAAAGAAATGTTAGTAACCCTAAGAAACACGGGAATAATTCGTCCGGTGTTTGTACTTTTCTCTGTTTTTCCATTACTTTTACATTACTGCAGATAAAAAATATTCCTGAAATAGTCAAATTATACGCAAATCAAGAGTTCAATTACTTGACTATACTTTCTTAATACAAATGGTTAGGTGGGTGTTTTTATATCTCAGATGAAAACTTCATTGCTTTCACTGAAAGGCAATATTAAGCCATGGTGTTCAATGTCAGACTCCCATGCATTTTCCCAGTTTTAGCCACCTATCTTTCTTTCATTACCTTTGTAGAAGTTAGAAGCCACATCCAAAGTAAGGGTTAATTGGATTTCATGTGTTTATTTTGCTTGTTTGTTTGTTTGTTTAGGGGGTCATAAAATGATTTTAAAGAAATGCAATAAACAAGACTAGCATAAATTACCATACCATATCTCGTTAATAGATTTTCCTTTATAATGATTCTGCATTACTCATTGCAGCATTTGAATAGAGGGCTTTAAAAAATATATTTCTGCATTGCGGTTATGCATCCAAGTTTAAACAAATAAATCATCTTGCTTTGCTCTTCCATTCGAGAACATCGGGAAAGTTTTTTTTTAATTGGATGTAAGACATTACAGCAACAATGCTTAAAAACTGAAAACGGAAACTATTCTTGTTTGATGAGTATTTAGAGGATATTATCTTGCATGCAAAATAGTGGAAATTACTCTTCCAAATTGTAAGGACCATCAAAATCATACATATTAATTAGGGATGTCAACGAATACTCGAACATTCGAATATTCATTCGATGAGTTGATATTCGAATATGAATTTAAGATTCGAATATTTGGTGTTTTTCTCAGATTTCATAAAAAGAAGTACTGTGTTTCATAAATTTTGATTAAAACAGTGCTGGAATTATCCTTGTTTAATTTACTAGCGATCAATTTCGATCTCCTGATTTCTTTCACTACTTTCTTATCGTATATATCTACTAAATTATTTTGTTTTGAGTAAGGTATTAAAGAATTATACAACAATGTTTAATGTATAGTACAAAACGTATTTTCCTAGTTTTTATTAAATAAATACGATCGGATCTAGAATCGATAATATTATTAATTCATATGCAAAGAATATACAGCGGTATTTTGTGGTAAATGTCTCGTCAATTCCCACAATAAGCATTTCATGGAGGATCTAGAAGATCTGTGAAAGTCTAAAATTGAGATGATTGAAAAAGAACGTAATGTTGTTACGGTTCATACTTTATGTAAGAAGTCAAGAAAATCAAAAGAAATGGATTGGTGTTTGGTCTTTGTCCAACACAGAGCTTCTGGTAAAGTCAGCGGCATTGAGCGGCATTTGTCCAACACACAGCTTTTGTTAAAGTCAGCGGCATTGAGCGGCATTTGTCAAAAAGAGAGCTTCTGGTAAAGTCAGTGGTATTGAGTGGCACTGTCCAAGACAGAGCTTCCGGTAAAGTCAGCGGCATTGAGCGGCATTTGTCAAAGACAGAGCTTCTGGTAAAGTCAGCGGCATTGAGCGGCAATTGTCCAAGACAGTGCCTCTGGTAAAGTCAGCGGCATTTGTCCAAGACAGAGCTTCTGGTAAAGTTAGCGGCATTGAGCGGCATTTGTCCAAGACAGAGCTTCTGGTAATGTCAGCGGCGTTGAGCGGCATTTGTCCAAGACAGAGCTTCTGGTAAAGTCAACGGCATTGAGACTGCAGCCACAAACTTTTCTCTTTTTTCTCTGTTTTTTCCTCCTCTAAAGCGATGTCCTTTTCTTGTTGTTGACATACTGTAAGAACAGGCTATTCCTTCATGTAAGAAGTCACAAAAGATAAGATTACTTTTAGTTTATAGAAAACTACCAGTACTAAGAAATATCTTGGGTAAGATGTTTTAAAAACTTTTCTAAGAGTCAAAGCATGGTATTTGTCCAACACAGAGCTTCTGGTAAAGTCAGCGGCATTGAGAGGCATTTGTCCAACACAGAGCTTCTGGTAAAGTCAGCGGCATTTGTCTAAGACAGAGCTTCTGGTGAAGTCAGCGGCATTGAGCGGCATTTGTCCAACACAGAGCTTCTAGTTAAGTCCAACACAGCAACACAGTGCTTCTGCTAAAGTTCTAGTTGCAAAGTTTAAATAACATATGAAAAGTTTAATTCTTCTCAAAAAAAGGTTTTATTCACTTTTGTCCAAGGAAAATGCTTTTGCCTAAAAAAAAAGGTGCACAGGAGGTCTCAAAAATTAATGTGTGCTTAAATAATGTTTTCTTTAGACCAAGGATAGAAGAATCTGAATTACATTAATTCTTTTCCTACTGATAAAAGAACTTATAATTGACAGAAGGTTTACCATTCTATCTATGAAAGGTAATGTAAAGATATTTGTTTTTCTTTAATGGCAAGGATTTTATCATAAAGTAGCATTTATGTTTTTCCACTTTCTTTTGATCATATTTCATTATTATATAGATAATACAATAATATTAGATTAAATTTACTTCTCTAAATAGCATAATCCTGGCTGGTTATTAGCCAAAAAGCATGTCTTGGACAAATGCCGCTCAATGCCGCTGACTTTACCAGAAGCTCTGTCTTGGAAAAATGCCGCTGACTTTACCAGACTACCATTACTGTAATGCCTAATTAGCATGCTTCTTGGCTAATAACCAGCCAGGATTATGCTATTAAGTGAAGTCAATTCAATCTAATATTATTGTATTATCTATATAATAATAATGATAATATGATCAAAAGAAAGGGTAAAAACATAAATGGTATTTAATGATAAATTCCTTGCCATTAAAGAAAAATATCTTTACAGTACCTTTCATAGATAGAATGGTAAACCCTCTGTCAATGATAAGTTATTCCATCAGTAGGAAAAGAATTAATTGTATTTCAGATTTTTCTATCCTTGGTCTAAACTAAACATTATTTAAGCACACATTAATTTTTGAGACCTCCTGTGCACCTTTTTTTAGGCAAAAGAATTTTCCTTGGACAAAAGTGAATAAAATACATTAATTTTTTTAGGCAAAAGAATTTTCTTTGTACAAACGTGAATAAAAACATTTTTTGAGAAAAGTTAAACTTTTCATATAAGTTATTAAATTTGCAACTAACTTTAGCAGAAAAACTGTGTTGGACTTTACCAGAAGCTCTGTGTTGGACTTTACCAGAAGCTCTGTGTTGGACAAATGCCGCTCAATGCCGCTGACTTCACCAGAAGCTCTGTCTTGGTCAAATGCCGCTGATTTAATAGAAGCTCTGTGTTGGACAAATGCCTCTCAATGTCGCTGACTTTACCAGAAGCTCTGTCTTGGACAAATGCCGCTGACTTTACCAGAAGCTGTGTGTTGGACAAATGCCGCTCAATAGGCTGACTTTACCAGAAGCTCTGTCTTTGACAAATGCCGCTCAATGCCGCTGACTTTACCAGAAGCTCTGTCTGAGACAAATGCCGCTGACTTTACTAGAAGCCCTGTGTTGGACAAAATGCCACTCAATTCCGCTGACTTCACCAGAGGCACTGTGTTGGACAAATACCATGCTTTGACTCTTAGAAAAGTTTTTAAAACATCTTACCCAAGATATTTCTTAGTACTGGTAGTTTTCTATAAACTAAAAGTAATCTTATCTTTTGTGACTTCTTACATGAAGGAATAGCCTGTTCTTACAGTATGTCAACAACAAGAAAAGGACATCGCTTTGGAGGAGGAAAAAACAGAGAGAAAAAAGAGAAAAGTTTGTGGCTGCAGTCAGAAAAGCCAAAGATTGTTATCTCAAACAGGCTAGGGAGAAAAAGAAGAAAAATCTTCAACTCCTGGAAAAACAGAAAGAGACAATCATAGGAAATTTAGAGAAACCTAAAATAAATTGATCTTGCTATACCAGACAATCACATTACCCGTGAATAGATTTTTGCCCTCTGCATGTTAGACATCAAACCATTACCTGAAGTGCCGCAATTTCACAATGTATCCTCTCCTGAATTTGCTCCAAAAATTGACTTGTTGGAGGAAGTAATGGATTAATTTGGAAATCTTGCAATTACATTTACTAAAATAATTAAAGAAACATGGGGGAAATTCTGTATTCTTCAAATTTCCTTTTCAAACCAAATTATTACATACAGATACTAGTATTGTACGATAATATAATATTATCAGATGGAGGCTTTCATAGGAGTATCCATAAAATAATAAAACTATATTGTTCGAAATAGCATATAGCTTGCGCTTTTAATTTCAGAATTACAATCTCAGTAGCCCCTAGAGCAGAGATCATCAATTGTCGAGAACATAACAAGAACATTTAACTCTACTAGATGAAATTTCGCGCAAGTGCGGGGAAGTGAATTTTTACCACTACTTAAAGAACATTTCGAATAAAATATATCATAGTTTCTACTAACAGTTAATTAATTACAGGCTTATAACAGGGAGAAATACTTTGTTCAAAATCCCGCAGTTAGTTTTGGAGCAGAAATAAGTATATCCCCCTTTTGTGAAAACTTGACAAATATCATTTTCATTAATTAACGTTCAGTTTGAAACCTGTTATACTACGTTATACTATATGGGGTATTTTCCAAAAACCCCATACGTTACATTTATAAACGTGTATATAAAACTGGGTGATTTTAGAAAGGTTCCTTGACAGGCAATAATGTGCTACTTTAATACTGGTTATCAAATACGTTTCAAGGACTCGTGGTCTTTGTCTCCATTATTTTCAAGACTTAATGATGTTTGGAAAAATGTAAATCCTTACGTCTTCCTCTTTGATATATTAAAGGTGGAAAAGATGGACAGATTAAACTAAGACTTAAGTTACGTTTTATTTACAAACCATACATGTGTAAATTCCCGATTCAGCTAGTAAAACTAAGTCACACATACTAAGAACATTTAATCTTTCGAAAATTGCTTTTTCAAAAAAAATCATTTGGTACCTTTTTCATGTCCTCGTTACATTTTTTCAGCATTCAAACCTTATATTTTAATTTTTTTTAACACAATAGCAAAAATATTTACCAAGAGTTGGAAGAGAAATGTTTAAAAAGTACGTATATGTAAATACAAAAAAATATCTTTTCATTCAGTTTAATGCCTATGTAGGTGAATTATCCACTGATCTTGTCTCAAGAAAATCACCAAAATTACAGTATCATCTGTGTCGACAAAGGGTCGTAGTTTAATCTTGTGTTAGAAGTGTGAAACTTGGTAGTTGCGCAGATTATTTAATATATGCAGACAATCAGGACTTGTGCCTAGTATAACTCATGTTTTCAACTTATAGTTTGTAGTGTGCACTGTAACTTACTTTGCTGTTTTGCAATCCAATATTTCTAGGTGGACAAAAATATTAGAGTACTACTAGTATGTTCCTCCTTCAAACACTATCTTATCCAGAGTCAGTATTAAATTTAATTTAATTTTTTTTTTTTTTACAATCTTAATAACAGACTAACATGTCTACCTACAAAATTTATGCTAGATAAAATTTTACGTAAAAAAAACTATCCCTACACAGAGTGAATGCCTTCTGTAGGAGAGAGGAATGTAGTGTTCGTCTAAATAGCATGATTTGATATCCTTCTCTATCACTCATAGTAATCATTTTAATTACATTTTTGCAAGGACTGTCCAATAGCACATCGTTTAAACAAACTTAAAATTATTTAGAATGGCGAATTCTTACCAATCACAAATTGAAACTTTACACTAGTAACTGAAAAGGTGTACTCAAAAATTGTTCCCTATTTAAAGCTTATTGTAAATTTAATTCAAAGTCATATTATCTAAATTTTGTTATTTCAAATGGCTACCAATAAGTTTTTTAAGCAGTTGAAAAATGGAATATTAATCAAAGTGCAAGTTAGTGAAAACAAGTTGAAATAACAGTCATGAAATACGGTAAAAATTGACTACCAATTAAATATATCAGATAAACTGAGTAAATCGACCTCAAAATGTTAGACATAACACTGTTTCGTTTATAGATTTTCCTTTATAATGATTCTGAATTGCGCATTGCAGCATTTGAATAGCGGACTTTAAATCTATTCTCTCGATGCACTTAAACTGAAACAAGATACAAGAATTTTGTTATACTCTCCAATTCGTGAGCAGTTCCGTCAAAACGTACGGACTTTTTTTTAAAATAAATGCTGGTTTGGATCTAAGATATCGCAGCAACAACTCTCAAAAACATCAAACGAACAACGTGTTTATTGTTTTGTGAGTACTAGTATTTAAAGCTATATATATATATATCTTGTTTTACAAAAGATCTTTAGAACAAGATGGAAAGTACTCTTCCAAAATGTAAGACCCACCAAGATCGTACATGTGAATTCTTCTGCAAGCAGTGTGAAGCTGTGATATGTGGTAAATGTCTCGTTAGTTCCCACAAAAAACATGACGTGGAAGATTTGGAAGATCTCTGGAAATCCAAGAAAGAGATAATTGATAAAGAGAGCGAGACAGTTAGAAATGTGGTTACACTGTATCAACAGCTAGAAAATGACATCTCTCTGGAGGAGGAAATAATGAAAGAGAAATACCAGATCATTGAAAATGACATCACAATGCATGGAGAAAAACTAGAGGCAGCAGTTAGGAAAGCCAAAGAGAGTTATCTCAAACAGGCAAGGGAGAAAAAGGGAGAAGACCTTAAATTCTTGGAAAAACAGAAAGAGACAATCAAAGGGAACATAGAAAAAGCTCGAAAAATGGAGCTTGCTATTCCAGACAGTAACAATACCTGTGAAGAAATCCTTGCTTTCTGCAGGTTAGACATCAAAGAATTACCTGAAGTGCCAAAACTTTCCAAGGTATCGCCTCCCGAATTTGCTCCAAATATGGACTTGTTGCAGAATATAATTGATAATTTCGGAAATTTAGCAATTTGATTTCTCCCAAATAATTTCAGAAAAAGTGGAGGGAAACACGACATTTTGTTTTTCATTTCAAGTAAATAACTTTATGTTTCATTGTATGTAACATGTGTAAGACGATGTTTCTTTTCATTATACTTGTTCATGTTTTCCTTAGTACAAGTTAATTTTATTTCTCGATACATTTGTATCATGAAATATATGCAAAGACTTCATTTGTTCCTCAAGGAAATGTCCTGTCAGACTGTTCTGGGGCTAGAAAAAAATTATCATTATTTGAAGGTTTAATGGTTCGAGTGACAAAGTTAGTAACAACTAATATTCCTTTGTAATGTTCATCATTACATTGAAAGAACTTGCTTTTAATTCAAGATCTTCAGTCTATTAAGTGACCATTGAGTTAAAAAAAAGATAAAATGGGGGAAGACAAGACATTATGTGTTGAATTAAAGGGAAAAAAAATAGGAATTATATTTGACAACCATTTATAACACATGCGACATGAAATTTACAAATAATGACTCCTATAATCATTATTAAATTCATGCAGCTTGTCTCCTAGAACTTCAGGAGTAAAGAAGAATTTTAATATAGATAAATTAAATACATTTTTTTAATTTCCCAGCGTGCCATGTTTCTCAGTCTTTGCTTATTATTAAGGAATAAATAACATCTTTAAAGATACACTGTATAATAAACTTTAAATAAATGACAAGAGTTTCAACTTTGGGACTGAACATTGGATCCAGGGAACGTAAATTTTTACAATTTCTGTAGAGGGCTATATGCTCGAGCTCATAATGGATATACTGCTAGGTTCCATGAAAAGTGAAGAAAAATTTCAAAGATTTAAAAATTATCAATATACTTATCCCCTCACTGAAACCTGAACCCTGGACCTTGTGGCTATGAATTGTGCAGAAGATAAATTGTAAAATGTTAAAAAAAAATAAATAAATAAATAAATAAATAAAACTTCTAAAAAGCTTCTGTTTATTGATTTTTTCCACAACATTGACCTTGTAAATGCTTATTGGGGCATTTGAATAGACACACTTTAAATCTATATATAACTAAGTTCCTTATTTAAACAATTTTGAATTGAGGCATTGAAGATAAAGTCTCAATGTCGCCTACGGTTCAAGACTTTTCTCGAAACTTCCAGAGCATTTGAAAACGTGCGCTTCGAAAGTACTGTGATAGCATCAAAAGCAATGAATGATCTTAGGTAGTTTTGAGGACATTCTTCTTTGAAGAGGTTTTCAACATTTCCAGAAGAAAATGGAAATTACTCTTCCAAAATGCAAGGCTCATGAAAGTCATACATGTGAATTCTTTTGCAAACAGTGTGAAGCTGTGATATGTGGTAAATGCCTCGTAAGTTCCCACAAAAAACACGAGGTGGAAGATCTGGAAGATCTTTGTAAGTCTAAGGGAGAATTAATCGCCAAGGAACGCGATATGGTAAGAAACGCCATTTCCCTGTATCAACAACTGGAAATGGATATAGATGTCGAAGAGCAAGTCATGAAAGACCAGTACCGTATCATTGAAACTGATATCGTAATCCATGCAGAAAAGCTCGAGGCAGCAGTCAAAAAAGCCAAAGAACAATTCCTTGAAGAGGCCATAGAAAAAAGAGTGGATGATGTTATACTCCTAGAACAACAAAGAAAGGAAGTCTTAAGAAACTTAGAAGAAGCCCGAAGCATGGAACATATTCTGCCAGAGAGACTCGATACTTGTGAGAAAATACTCGCTTTCTGCAAGTTAGAGGTTAAATCCTTGCCCCCAGTGCCGAAACTTCAGAGGATATCGCCTCCCGAATTTGTTCCAAACACCGACCATTTGGAGAAAATGAGGGATCATTTTGGAAATCTCGTGATTTAATCTACAAAGCAACGCAACAACATTTAGGCACTGTAAATTTAGATTTTTAGAAACAAAAATAAAGAGATAAAATATATTTTAATACTTTATTTTGAAGAAGTAACATAACATTATGATAGATATACTGAATTCAAAGCCATTATTTTTCATATGTAATCCAAATGTTTATTGAAATTAAGAATTATTGTAAATAAATGTATTTATGAAAATGAAATGTTTAGAACATATTGAAATATTTAGGATTTGGATTTGCAGATTCTTTGACGTTATTTTTGTTTTTAAAAGCACAATTGCACAATTGTTCGTTTACTCTCAATTTCGATCTAAGTTTATTGTGTTCAAAAGAAAAATGCATTCCATTCCGTATTATCCTGCAGCAACATGCATAACATAGAACAGTAATACTAGCTTTATATATAACAAAGAGTTCGTGAAGTTGAAAAGATTTATTGATCTTATTAAAAACATGAATCAATGAGAGCAACGCACACACACACACACACACACACACACACACACACACAGAGAGAGAGAGAGAGAGAGATGGAAATTGAATGCATGGCTAAAACTTTCTAAATTTTACAACTGAAACTAAACTCTTTAAAATAGAGAAAACAATTTTCAATCAACTTGCAGAAAAGTTTAAGGGACCAATGCAATTCTTTGAAATTTGATAATTTTTCAAAATCTACTAATTTAAATTCCATGTTTATGGCATTAATGAGCAAGCATATGCTCTTTTTTAAGGTAGTTTATTCACCTAGTTGTAAAAGGCTTCCATTATAAACAATACTAAACAGGTGAAATATTTTAAACCTATCAACAGTTATTACATTATTGGGCTTTTGTGCATAATGACATGGCTGTGACTTTAAAAATTCCCCCTTTTAATTAAAAATAAACGGCAAAGCAGGTTTCAGTTGCATAGGACCTTACACATATTCTATCAGCTCTTATCTGGAAAAGAGACAAAAAAATCGTCTTCTGAAGAATATTGCAAGTTTCGTCAGCTTGATTTGTATAAAAAAAATTCGTGTACACCTATTTAAAGACCCTACTGCACAAAAGGGGTACAAAATTGTATCGTCTTGTCGAAGATCTGACATTATAGGATATCAAAGAAAGCGCAAGTTTAATTTAAATTGTTACTAAGAGTTATATTTCATATTCTGTGCAGCTTCTGTCTTTGTCGAATATGTTTCTGCCATAAAGGTCTTAATTTTGATAATCTTCAAAAGAAATGTCAATCCATAAGAGACAACACTGCCAAAGAAAATCAGAAAACCGCAAGATACACCGAGAAGTGTCTAAAAAGTGAATCTGATATCGAGAAACGCTTGATGAACCTTAGAAAAAGTTATTCTGATCTGGAGAAAAATAACGGGGAAAATGTGTCAAAAGTAGAAGAAACGAAGTGCAAATTAATGTGGCGAAATTACAGGGAAAAAAAACAAGAACAAGCATCAGCTCTTATACCTCTCTAAGAAATACTAAAATGGAATTTGAAAGCAGTTCAAAAACTCTTAGATGAAAACAAAAAAAGCTTATTCAGAGAATGTGTGCCCCCCGCTTGATGAAAAAAGATGGTGGAAGAAATGGAAAAATTTTGCAAGATGAAGAAAGAAAAGAAGGTCAACCTTGACCTTTTAGCTTTTGGCCTTAAAGTCCGCATAAATTTAAAATTTATATATTTAGATTTACGTCCTAATTTGCTTAAATGGGGAGGGTGGGTGGATTTTAAATTTCTTTTAATTTTATTACTGTAAACATCTACATAACGATCTTCTTATACAAAATTTTCACATTGTAATTATTCACCATGCATTCTCGTTGTGCTTTGTCTGAAAATATCCTGGATTTCCACTGTCCTTACAACGTCCAATTTTTCGTTCTTGACACGTTCGATAACCTCAAAAGCTTCTTGTGATATTGTCTGGAAATCTTTGATAATGAAAGAATTACATGCAAATTAATTTCTGGCATTTGGAAACCTTTGGTGTATCCTTAAGAAAAGACAGAGGCAAGGGCAAAATCAAATAAAATGTAATATTATAAACAGAAAATTCAATGTTTTGTAGTTTGATATGGAATTAAATTCACTCGCGAGACAGGATTTTTTGCTATTTCCTCAAAGGCAATAGGAGTCTTCTTTCGACCATAGGGAGTTGTGGTATAAAATTTCATTATAAAATCTCAAAGTCTTCTCTAGATATCGCCCGGAAACGAACGTTTTACACACAGACAGAAATACAGCTAGACGGACGGACAGACAGACCCTAATTAATATCCCCCACTTTCAGTGAAAGCGGGGGACAAAATCTTCTGACCCATAATGCCATTGAAAGGTCAATTAAATAAGAGAATTATACAAAAAAAAATTTTATAATCTAGAAAATGAGACAAAAAATACATTATCTTTGTATGTATTAAATGTTCTTCAAAAACCAATAGAAGTTATTGTGAGAGAGAATGAGATGGGCTCAATAAAAATTAAGTTTGCATGGTGATAGTGACAAATATGGGCAAGTACAGGCAAGTATATCGATCTACATTAAGATTTGATACTGAGTACTAGACTTATTAATTCCTTGATCCCTGATCATCCTCTTTCTTATGGGCAACATAGCTTCATCTACCAGTTTCTGTTGTTTTAGTTAAATTTGTTGGATCATTTACAGTGTTGTATAGTTAAGGCCCTTGGGCCTCTTGTTATTATGACTAATTGTAGCCCAGCTTTTCTTAAAAAATAATATTTTTCCTTCATATCATATATATTCACCTATTTATAAAACTTTGATGCTCTATTGTTGTCCAATCCTAGCAATGAAAATCACAATTTCTGCACTTCATGAAGTATATAAAATTATTGTAGACTTTCTGTCCTTTTACACAACTTTTCAAAGGTTTTAAGTATTCATTTCCTTATAAAACTTTGACCCCCTATCATAGCCTCATCCTACACTCAGAGGTCATGATTAGATGAAATTTGAAAGCACATACTGCATGAGGATGGTTGCATGTTAATATGACTTTTTGTAGCCCTGTTCCTTGAGATTTCTGAAGATTTCCCCCCGTCTATTCCTATGTCAAATATTGACCCCCTAATGTGAATCCATGCTAGCTCCTGGGGGCCATGATTTGTCCAAACCTTTCATATAAATGTTCATACATAAATATGCCTAATAATGGCCCTGTTGCTTTAGGGAAAAAAATTTGAAGACTTTATCCTACATATTCCTATGTCAAATGTTGACCCCTATTCCCACAGGAACAAACCCCATGAGCCACGATTTGAACAAACTTGAATATACTCTACATGAGGATATGCCTATCTGTGGAAATTGGGGGGAAGGGACAAAAACCTAGCATTTTATTACTTTTGTTATTGAAAAAACAGGGCCAAAATTCGCTAAATTCTGGGTGCATGTCATGCTAGACAGGGAGTCACTGAATGCACGTTAAATATAGTCCCAGGATCATGAAGCAGTCATCAGAATTTCAGTAACTCATAAATGAATATTAATTACAAATGGACACTTGAAATTTACAATTGAAACAATTTTTATTAACATTTTAAAGAAGATGGGTGAACAAGGCATGCAGAATGCCTATAGCTTCAGATATTTAAAAAATCATTTTCAATTTGTAAATTAAGCATTTAAAGTTCTCATTATTGAAATTTATGAAATTATGATCAACAAAACTTTTCTGAGAAAAAAAGATCTTGGAAAAAATTATTCTTATATAAAAAATTAAAATGGTATTTGTGGGATTCGAACCCCTAACAATAAAAATCCGGAGTATCATATTGTTTTGAGACTAACACGCTAACCACTATGCTACACAGCCCCTGACGAATAGTGGCATTTAAATCATGTTTGTGATATGACCCTTGACTTAATGGACTTCAAGTCTTTCTCGGAAAGGTGCGAATGCATTGTCATAAAAGTGTAATTTTAAGGTAAAGTGGGTCTTTGCTCCATGTTTTTGTAAACCAAAAAATGTATATTTTTATGCAAACTTTTAGGATTAACTTTCAAAAAAATGGAGCGAAGACCCACTCATATCGAAAAATTTTGTTTAATTATGAAAAAATGATCCTTTTTGTCCTCTTTAGTGTGTGTATGCTATTTTGTAGGCAATTAATTTCAGTCTTTGTGAGATTTTTGTAAATTGTAGAGATTTTACATAAAGTATACTTTAATGTTAGATGAAATATCTACGAAAATTTTGATATAATTGAGATTTTATTTTTCACTTCATGTTTGTCGCACTATACTCACTTCGCCCGCCTTGTTCACCCATCTTCTTTATTTATTTTTCATAATCAAACTTTTAGACATTGTACTAACTCTGACGTAATTCTATAATTGCTTCTGACATGATCTTGGGCCATGATGAAATAATTCTCTGGAGGAAATTTAATCGTTGCATATAACAGGAAGTTGCTTAATACAGGTGGTTGCGAATCAGTGATGACAGGTTTGACCATATTTCTGATTATCTTTGTTAACAATGAATTCAGATTCTGAGTATGTCCACTTAAATATTAGTTTGATTCTTCCCTAAAACAAGTATAAAAGAATTTATCAAATTTCACTGAAATCAATTCTGGCTTCTTGGGATACCTTGCAGAGAAAAACTTAGAAAACTGAATAAAACAGTCTCCATAATAAATGACCTCCATGTCAGAGGTCATTATACTGAAATCAATTCTATACAGGTGATCATTTTTTAATTAAACTTCCTTTTTTGAAAAACAACTACTCACAACCAGTGTATGTGAACTAAAAATTAAAATACACATACATGTAATTGCACCAGTCATGACAAAAATACAGAATACAGATAAAAAAAATTCTAGACATGTAGAACAGTTCCTTAGGTTTATCTAGCATACACAGATCAAAATCTTCAATATATACAGTTTCATGTACAACTGCATGTACAAGAAGCATTTTTACATATAAACATAAAACATAATCAAATTTAAAATCATC